ATGACTATTTGAATAATGAGTTTTTGATAGACGTTGAGTGTGTTTGGTAGTATATAATGTCTTTTTGGTGTTGTTTTGTGCTTTTTACGGTTATAATGCACTCAAGACGAAGATGGATCACCAAGGGACCTAATGGATTTGAAGGAGGACAATATTACAAGCTCATAGTCTCAAATAGAGATGGATTTGGACATCATATGCTACCTTTATGGTCAAAACAAGCATATATGGTAGTGCAACAAGCCAAACTTTGTCTATGGTCCAACCAGAGTTCTATAAGTCAAAATGCATCCAAATTTGGAGGAGAGGTTGCTTATGGGCCAAGAAACCAAGTCTAAGTGGAAAAGGGCATCGACTTGAACCGCCGTGGACCCGCCGCTCGTGCCTAATCCTCAAGAAGCTTCCATGATGACCTTACTTCGTCCCCAAGTGGAAGGAATTCGAGTTCAAGTCGTATAAGGAAGGTTGTGGCCTACTTTAGGAGGAAAAGGACTAGAAAACCCGTTCTATAAATAGTATAAATAGGAGGCTTGGCTAGAGCTTTCATACACCTTTTACTAGCAATCTGTCGTAGGGGCACTAGTAGCAATCCATAAATAAAGGATAGAATTCGATTATACTCTGTGTACTATTTCTATGATTTAATAAGATGTCTATCGTGTTTATTATCTTTATCATTAATGCTTGATGTCAATTTATTCTTGTATCATCTATTACTTGAGTTATACGATGCTATTGTTATTAGATGCTTTAGTTTATCACTGCTTATGATTTTATTATGTGTTACTAAATTCATTGTTTATACTATTATCATGGGAGACAAGGAAACATATCTCGTGTAGTAGATATCTTCTTAGGTGTGTATGGGAGGACTAGCTAGCCTTATATATTAATGAGGATAATGCTTGATTATTATATCATTGATGCTATAGACCATCGATTATGGCTCAAGAGGCCTACACTTAATCATGTGCTATCCTAACTTCCTTGTTCATTAATTAGGTGATGGCATGAAGTGAAAGGACGCTTTAGCTAGTTAAATCTCTATTACAAGAGGCGCATGCATAAGTAGATAATGGCCTTAGAAAGGAATATGGCATCATAATGGAAGAAGCATTGAAGTATCTTGTTAATGAGAATGAATGCATGATCATCTAGAATCACTACCTAAACATTAGTTTCATTGCTTGTTTACTCGTTTGCATTGCATTGTTTGTTTGTTTCCTTGCATTAGTAGTTTAGTAACTAGAATAGGGCATCTCAACCCACATCATATTTACTTTTCTTTGCATGACAATTTTGAGAATAATTGGTTAGGATTGAGTTGTTATTATTAAAAGACCTCGTGGAATACGAATATACGATATCCGATGATTGACCACTCGATTTCTACAATCAATAACCAATATACCCGAGATCATGTAAACCAGCATCCGTGAGGTATGCATGGAAGTTAGCCATTTCTTGCTCCACCACTTCCCTTCCACCATCCTTTTGGGACAACATCAAGACTTGATATTGAAGTCGTTGACGCATACCCACAGACCAACCCACTGATATGCTAGGTGATCAATCAATTCCCAGGTCTTCCACTTCTCATGGTTTTCCGAGCAGCCATACACTCCCCAAAATCTTCAAATTTTGCCACTATCTTCCATCACTTCTTCATCAATATGGTTTAAAGAGTAACATTGTTGTCACGTTAATCCCCTCTTGCCACCATAAGTTTACTCCGCCAGCTCGGCCACCACGCGACCTGTTTGTAGGCCTACTATAACCTTCCTCAAAGTATAACTCAATTATGGTACTGGAATTTCTCATCATCTGTTTACTTAGTTTCCATTGAGAAAACTATCTTACGGGAAGGGGGGGGGGTCGTTGTAATAGTGACTTCAGTGCTTTAATTGCTTGCGTCTTCCGCAAACCGCGACAAGTATATGTATTTGTTTAGTCCTTCCTAGGGTGATCCTTTTTTGTTTTACTTCATCTCGTTCATATTAGTATTTGCACCTTATGTGTTTGTTTGTCCTTCTTTTCACCACTACTCATTTCCTTGAGGCTTGTTTGTCTCCACTCTTTTGCCATCCAGTACTAGTTTTAAGAGTAATTTTTCTTGGGGTGTCATTTCCCCCTATGTTGTCCATGTTCCCTTGCTTGTAAGTCTGAGATTTGACATGTGCATGGGCATGCACTACGTGAGTGTCATCATTCAATGATTCAAACATATTCCTTTGTTTTTGTTCCTTCCTTTTCACCGTCATCCAATACCGGTAATCCTTCTAGTGGTTTTCGCTCCTTCATTTTCGTGGCCATCCAATCACCATAAGCCCTTCCCTTGGTTGGATCCTCCTATTGGGATTCTTCCACCATCACTATCTCTTCACGGTTCTCTTTGGGCTTCATGTTACGACATTGGCAAAGGCATACTGGATTACCCTACGATCCACATTAGTCACAAATGTCTTCCAGTGTTTCATACCGAATTTTGTACTTTACACCCTCAATTGTATATTTGGCCAACAACGATTTAGTTAGATCTAACTCAACTCACACCCCGACAAGCTTTGTTCTTGCCCCCAGTTATGTTGATCTGTCTACTCTCACTAGCTTCCCTATGTTCCCTGATATTTGCCTTACCACCTCATGGTTATAGAATTCAATTAGGAGCTAGAGAGTTGGCCATTGAACCCACACCATAGTAGATTTTACTTCCGCCTTCTAAGGTTCGAAACCTTTATACCAACGATGAACTGTGAGATAGGCATTGCTAGTAGCCAAGGTCACCAGGTCGTCACGAATTCATAAGCTTTTTGGTGTCGCAACTGAACCAAAAAGCAACCATTTTGCATATCAGAAATCCGGAACTCTCCATAATGCGCTCATAAAGAATCAAACATCAAGCCAATAGGACATTTGAAACTCTTCTTCTTGAACCCTTCACCACTAATGCAGAACTCCATTCTCTCCTCCACTTCCTCTTCTAAGCTACCATTATCCGTATATGTGCTTAAATTCGTTTAATATTAATGATTTACACTTATCTAAATGTTTTCTAAGACCGACATGAACCAACATAAACCAGTTGTACCACCGAGAGGACCATGCGACTTGTCAAACCCGCAAACCAATACTGATTATACCCCTACCCTTTTGTAATTGGCCATTGTCGAGCCGGCAACCAAATCAAATCACTCCCTCCCAACCAAGGTTGTCAAATCTGCTTATACAGTTACGTCGGTTTAACAAGTGGTATGATCCAGCCGGAGTATAGCCAGTGACGTAGCCAGAAATTTATCTAAGGTAGGTCGTCAAGCATGAAAAGAAAAAACGTAAGTTCCAGGATATGTTCATGTTCTGATAATTTTCTAAAATACATTCACTATGCAAATTAGGAGGATGTTAAGATAGCACAACGAAACTTCCAAAACTCTTCTTATTCTAAGTGTTTCTTCACTTTGTTGATTGCACTAAGTGCTCTTTAAACACTTGCAATAACAACTTATAGCAACAACCACTTCGAGCTTTTGTTTATATTAAACTCACTTTACACAAAATATGAATTAAAAGTAAAATATAGATTACCAAACATTACTTTTTCGTAAAATAATGTACGGTAATATGAAGATTTTGTATTCAATCTACAATCATGTAGACTAATTTACTCTACATTTTTTGGGCCAAGGTGCTGCAAATGACCCACGTTGGCCTTAACTGGCGCCGCCACTGAGTATAGCCTAGGGGTGGGCAACGGGACGGGACGGGATACCCGTCCCGTTTGAAATGGGTACCCGGTCCCATTTGAAGAGCAATCTTTATCCCATATCCCAAACCCGTATGGGTTAACGGATACCCACATTACCCGTCTAGTTGGGAGTAGCAACAGATTCGTAAAATTAAAATTTTCTATTAGAACCGGCTCTGCTTCTATTTTAGTGTCATTGTGATCTCCAATTGAGTGTAGGAATTGAGGAATGTATATGTTGCATATGTCACTGTATGACCCAATAAGATAAATTGCCAAAGCCTTGAATTGTAGCACACTCTGATCCATGCAAATAATCGTTGCTTATATCCTCTGCAGCTTAAAATTGGCGATGATTGTCAATAACAAATAGGATTAGTAGCAGCAGAGTTATGGTGGTAGTGGTAGCGTTCATCTACTTCGTGTTCCGTCCGTCCTTGTGCTTGCTAGCTAGATAGGTTTGATGATTTGTGCATACTGCTTGCTCAACTATCCCATTTCTCAAAGTACATTTATTTGGCTCTCCTCTAAGGATACGACATATATTTTGGACTCATGGGTATAACGGGTACCCGTAATACTCAAACGGATATTAAAGGATAACCCGCGGGTACTCAAAATAGCGATTCTTAATCCCAAGTCCCATCCCGTAAAAAAATTTACGGGTATTTGGGTACCCGTAACTCTCAAAAAAGGGACGGATACGGGTATACCCAAATACCCGTTTCCCGTATACCCAAATACCAGTTTGTCAAAAGATATGAAGAAGTAGGAAACCATAAATCAAATGACTTGTGCATTTATATAATTTATCTCAAGATAATCTACTTATAATCTGCATCTTTTTATCATCTTTTTATCGATATAATCTCCATCTATGTTTAAATTAAAAAATTACATTACTAACATAATAGAAATCATCGTACTTTTTATCGGTTTAATTACCTAATAATTCATACCGATGATCTTCCGGTCGTTTTTTGTCCAATACCAATTGAATCGGATTGTATCGACTGTGATAGTAGTGGTTGCCTGGTTGGACAACCGTTCTGCATGCTGCCATGCTCCCAAGTCCCAACCGAGCCCCAGCTCTCCACCTAACCCAAATTCCTCCCTCCTTTGAAAATTTACCTTTCCGCCTTTCCCCTTTTTACTTTCTTCAATTCTCCCTAAGCGGAGTCCTAATTCTCGCTGTCTAGTATAGCTGTAGTATTGCGTCGGTTGCTGCAATCTAGGGTTTTCAGGGTTCTTCGAGAAGATGGACATCGAGCAGAAACAAGCAGAAATGATCGATCACTTCATGAAGCAAGCTTCTTCACTTAAGGGTTCAGCAATTACTCCCCTTGTTCTGGAGGCTACTTCCAACCCTTCCCTCTTTGCCTTCTCAGAGATTCTCGCCGTGCCCAGTGTCACCGAGGTCAGTGTTATCTATCTGCTGCTGCCTCGAACCTGACGGTTGGGTTCTATCTCTATGCCACTCCCATCTTGTTTGCTTTTCGTGTACTGCCCCTGAATAATGACTTCCTCAGCTTGAAGGGACTGAGAATGCCACGCTGCTTGATACGCTTCGGTTGTTTGCACATGGCACATGGAGTGATTACAAGGGTAAGCAATTGGGCACCTCCATCGAACTTAAATCTTCTTTGCTTTCTGTCTTTCGCAGTGGTGGTGAAATGTTGTTTATGGACAGGTAATATGGCTAGTCTTCCTCAGTTGGTTCCTGACCAAATACTTAAGCTGAAGCAACTTACTGTCCTTACGCTGGCTGAATCAAACAAGGTATCCTTACATTACACTGCTAATGAGCGTGGAATGCATCTGGAAGTCTACTGTCCTGCCTAAAATAGTTGTTGTAGTCATCCGGTGGTGTAATCTTTTCGTTTAAGGAAGTTTACGGTGTGAAGTCTGAGTACGTATGCAAAAGGGATACATACTAGGAGATAATGTTACACCAACTAGCAGCTTGATGTTCTTGAGAATGAGTTTGACCTCCTTGCAGTGCTAAACGGTTTTTGTCCGGTCCTTGCATGACTTAGAGATTGGAATATATACCTTCTGCCAGGTGCTTCCATATGACCAGCTAATGCAGGAGTTGGATGTTACTAATGTCCGTGAACTTGAAGATTTCCTCATTAACGAGTGTATGTATTCGGTAGGTCCCCCTTCAGTTCTGTTCTCGCTGTATTTATTAGAGCTCCAGGTTTTGTAGGTTTTCTTGTTTAGGATTAATGTCAGGGATCAAATAGTGGAAGGGAGGACATTTACTCATCGACATCGTTAACTCTCTTCTCGTTTTTCTGGTTGATAAATTGTTTACTTGCTTTCTTGTTACTCGGTTGGCTTCAGGGAATTGTCAGAGGAAAGCTTGACCAGTTACGAAGGTGCTTGGAGGTCTGGGATTTTGGCAATTGCCCTACGATTTTTGAGTACACTACAGTGGCCCTGTTATGGTTTTGAGACCTTTGAAGTTCATATAGTATTTCTTTCTAGTTCAGGTACAATTCGCAGCTGGGAGAGATCTAAGGCCTGGACAGCTTGGGAATATGTTGCATACTCTGTCGGACTGGTAATCTGTTAGTTCCTTGCCAATGGTGTGTTTGTCTGTCAAATGGAAATTAGTAGTTTATCTAAGGATTGGGTACACATTTTGCACTTAGTCTGGAAGGAAACTAGAAGTATGCATTAGTATGAGAAATACAGTTCTTACCGTGGTCGGATTTTTGAATGAGGAAATATTTGGCAAACTCTGTTGGCTTTTGCTAATTTTCATTATTCTCCAATAGCATAGTATATTTTGTTCAAAAGTTCCATTGGTGACCTAAAGAAAAGTTGTGCAGCTCTTTCAGTTATTGTGTTAAACGTAACTGAAACTTGGTATCTTGGATTGCAGTATTAACTTTATGGCTTTGAAGAAAATCTAAGTCCATTGTTGCTTTTATTGCATCCTGATGCTCGCTCTCATTCCCTGTCTCATGCATCAGTTGTGAGTGTTGAAGCTGAAGTTATCCTTATGCCTGATACTCTACTCAGGTTGACTACATCTGATAACCTCTTAGTGTCTATCCAAGACAAGATCAAGTGGGCTGATACAATGAGTGAAGCGGACAAGAAGCACCAGAAGGATGTAGAAGATAGGGTAGAAGAAGTGAAGAAGACTATTTCCCTCAAGGTCAGTTTAGTCCAATATTATTGTTACAAGTACAATAACACGAATGCCGAATGGCCGCGGCATAGTGCAAAATCTGGATAAGCGAATTAGAGACCTTATTTGGTGAAGGTTCTCTCAGTTGTTTGGAGAAAGGGCTATTGTGATTCATAGGGGAGAAAAAAAAGAAAGGGCTATTGTTCAGTAGCTTTTTAGAGTTACTGATATGTTTTCAAATCTACTTATCATGATAATGGTTGTCAGTTGCTGTTGTAGCAGAACGATGCGAAATCCCAGTTTTAAATTTATGAAGGATGTTATTTAAATATGAAAGTTTTTCTTTCAAGCGATGTTATCTTGTTCCAAACGCCTGTTTGTTTCACAAAATTAAGAGCTTGATTGCAGTTATGATAACAATAGACAACTGATTCCTAATTATTCAGTTGTGTGGGGTATGTTGGTCGATGTGTCTTACTTACATTGTGGCAGAAGTTACACCCTGTAAGCAGGCAGATGCTGACTTCCGAGGGCATGAGGAGTTCTACTCTGAACCCGGTGGAGTGATGGACTATGAGGAAGACCGAAGCCGGACCAAGAGGTATCTTGTTTCAAAACTTCACGTCAGACTTTGGAACTGATTTTGTCTTGAACATTTGTTAACATGTGGCATTGCTGAGAAACCAGATTACTCTGATGCTGAGGTCTAGTTTGTCAAGTATTTGAACTCCCCTTGTGTGCTAGTATGTTCTAATATAATAACATGGCTAAATTTGCAGGAGGCGGCATCCCATATCTTAAAAACATTACTGTAGATTGGACGTGGTTTACAGCAAAATTATTGGAGCTTTTGCTGATGGCATTTCCAGCTTAAAGATTGGCGGGTGTTTTTTGTGGAACAGATGATGAACTTTACGGTGTACTGAACCCAACAGTGTGGATCCGTGATACAGGGGCTACTGATCATACCATTTGTGATATGAAGTCCTTTATCAATTGTAAGCCTATTACACAGATTTATGTTAATCTTCCCAATGGACATAAAGTCTCTGCTACTCACATAGGAATTGTATCCCTGCCTTGTGGATTATTCCTTACTCAAGTCCTCTTTATTCCTTCTTTTACTTACAACTTAATTTCTGTAAGTAAGTTGACCCAAAATCATCCAGTTTTTTTGGTTTTTAAATCCATTTTTTGTGTCATCCAGGACCTTATTACTCGGGGGAGGATTGGTTTAGCCCAAGTGGATAGAGGTCTTTACCTATTTTAAGAGTCAAAAACTCAGGTGTTTGGTGTTTCTAAAGTTTTCCAAGATTCTGCAACAGGAGTTTTCAACTTCCAGAGTCAAGATTTCAACATCTGGCATGCCAGATTAGGCCATCCTTCATGTCTAGAATGAGAGATGTGAGGAAACATTGTTCTGATGTAATTTTGCCTTCCATCAAACATTGTGGTGTCTGTCATTTTTCAAAGCAAAAGAGGCTGCCATTTCCAATCAGCACCTCTAACAGTACACATGCTTTTTTCCTTATCCATGTTGATATTTGGGGTCCCCTTAATACATTTTCAAGAGAAGGTTTTGCTTATTTTCTCACTGTGGTGGATGACTTTAGTAGAGTAGTTTGGGTGTTTCTTTTGAAATCCAAAAGTGAGGCAAGGTCCACCTTGCAATCATTCTGTCTTATGGTTCATACTCAACTTAATGTATCTATCCAAACATTTAGAAAAGATCAGAGGGCAGAGTTCCATATGGCAGATTTCTTTTCTGCTCATGGAATTGTTCATGAGATGAGTTTTGCTTACACAACCCAACAAAATGGAGGGTTGAGAGAAAGCATCAACACCTCCTTAACGTAGCTAGGTCTCTCAAATTCCAATCTGGGCCACCTTTGACTTATTGGAGTCATTTTTGTTCTCCATGTCGCCTTTCTCATTAATAAAACACCAACACCACTTTTAAACAAAAACACCCTTTGAGATGTTTTACAACGTTCCTCCTTATTATATGAACCTTAGAGTGTTTGGCTTATGCCATAGCAATAGAAGGCCATAAGCATAAGTTTGACCCATGAGCTCACAAATGTGTTTTTTTTTTTTTGTATTCCTGTTGGAATTAAAGGTTTTAAATTGTTGGACTTGGATACCAAACGTGTTTTTGTTAGTCGAGATGTTATATTTCATGAAAACATTTTGCCTTTCAAACACACTTCTCCTGCAGCTGAAAGTTCATCAGACTTTCCTCCTGCACCATTGTCTTCTCCATGTCCCGAGGATTCTTCTTGTTCTGAACCTCTCTTATTTGAGCCTGCTGTAACAGTTAATTCTCCTTCTTCTGTTACAAACACACCCTCCTTAATTCCTTCTCCAACTGTCACACAATCCATAGATTCTAGCTCCTCTACAATTCCATCTTTGATAGGGAAAAAGCGTAATGCCTCAATCCTATCTCGTAGTAAAACCGGAAAGTCCGGGTATCGTCTATCAAGGACTGGTACAACCTTATATTCTATCAATTTATAGAGCAAACTGTAGGTGAAAATGGTTTAATGGGTGAAACTATTATCTAATAGCAAAATAATTAAACAAAACAAGCAAATTAAAGTTGTTGGAAGAAATCAATGAAGAAAGCTCTGGGAGAAACACCGGGACTCACTACCTATCAAATCCAAATTAATTCACATATTCCAATCAATTTAATTCATATCTCTACAGCCAGGATATCTCTATTGTGCTAGCTATCCCTGTCGGGAATTACTACGTACCAAACAATTAATTCAAATTCTACTGTCGTAGCTCAATGAATTAACTGTTTAGACTGAAGACCGATATCCCAATTAAGACCGCATAGCACCTTATTTAATCCACCGTCGCTTCGATAAGTTGTTATGTCACATGAAATATGTTCAGTTATCAGGGTTTCACTGTCGCTATAACCTAATCAAATGCAAATCGATGTATTGGTGGCCAGTCCACACAAAGCATTAAATAATTTCATGCAATAGAGATTCAAAGAAAAGAAATATGAATCAATCCATCAAGGCTAGAAATAGCTACATCCTATGGTGTTTCCCCTAGAAATTGGGTTTAGTTCATGTCACAAATCGAAACAAAAGAAAAAGAATACTGAATTTATCGAACGATCCGGCTCTAATTCCTTCTTGCACCGATCGCTACTCTGCTGCTCCGCGCTCTCCGCTAGTCCTCCGCGCGGCGCTGTGCTGTTCCTCCTCCCAAATAATTCCTAGCTGCCCAATTATTCTCCAGTTGCCGTCCGCTTTCAATTAATTCCAAATTTTCCCTAAAAGAAGACTCCCTGTCCAATTCCCTCCAATCCCACCGACTAGAGGCCAACAACTTGGTCCATTTAATTGGAAAAAATGGCCCAAAGAAACCTCACCTCCACCTAATTGCGTTCCAATTAATTACTTCTCTCCCAATAAATTTCCAGTGCTTGCTTTTCGGTCCAAGTAAATCATATGGTCCAAGTTAATTCAAGACTTGTGTTGCAGCTGTACGTGGGCACCGGGCCGTGCTGCCCACGGGCTAGCACGACATGGCAAGGTTAGAGCACGACACGAGCACGAAATAAATGGGCCAGCCCGGCACGAGCACGAATAATTTATGGGCCGTGCCAGGCCTAAAATTCATGGGCACGAGCACGAGCACGAAAACGGGCACGACACGATATCTAAGTGGGCCGTGTTGGGCCTAATATTTTAGAGACTTTATTGAGTGTAAGAACCGACATGGCATGATAATAATATTTATTTGATAGAAAATAAGTATAAAAAAAATTATAGGTTCAAATATTACAAAACACAAGTAGAAAAATAATTATTTGTTGTTGTTAGAAGTGTCATAAAGATATATATGTAATTACTAACAAAAATAAAAATGGACAAAGAATTAAACAAAGTCAAATCACACTCACTTTCAATTTTCTTTTCCCCCCTATTTGTTACTTTTGTCAAACATTATCGGTTAATACTATCTTCCCCCGTCCAATTTTCACCTTCTTTTTCATTCTCTCTTTTGTTTTCGTTCTTTTCATTAAACACGAATGTGAGCATGGCACGAGCACGAATAGGCACGACACGATTCGAACTGTGCCCGGGCCTAGCAAAGTTGACAAATGGGCTTGCATGGCACGTCACGAAAACTGACGGGCTGTACCAAGCATGACACGAAATAAATGGGCCCGAAGCGTGCCCGTGCCGTGCCGGCCCAAGCACGGCCCAACGCCCATGTACAGTTGCAGCCCATCGGGCTCAAAAGTTTGCTCCCTGTCCAAGTAATTCTTTTTGCGGCCAATATATATGTTTGTTCTTTATTCATTTGCCTGCCCATCACTCGTGCTGCCATTTTCGACAATTATCACAACCCCACACTAAATACTTGCTTGTCCCTAAGCAATGACTCAGACAAGAGAATGATAATTGGGGAAAACACATCACAGATCACACAGTAACAACCTTGCTCAAAACACACGACCCACAGAACACAACCATTAACACCATAAATTTATCCTTGGACTCTTGTGATAATCAATAGTTTCTTTCTCAGTGGATGAGTTGTGCTTTAATGATCAATTGATCATACCCTTTCACCCCACACTCAAGGTCTTGCAACCCTTTAATATTGACTGACTCAATTCCACCAAAAACTCAATGGCCAACACTCAATTCCGATCGTCGGTAGTGGGTGATTAACAACTTATGTTGCAGCAGTTATTAGGAGAATCTGACCACATCAGTGAGGTGCATATCTCATGAGGACAATCTGGCTTACTCACACCAATCATAAGCAATTAACTAAACAAGAGTCTTAAAAACAAATGGGGGAAGCTTTTCGCAAACTTAGTTTTAACTTTAAGCACATCACTACCTTTTTTACAAAGAGAATCTCTCTCTTTCTGATTTTGCTTGTAGAGTAGTCGCATTTAGTACAATTGGGATTTTTTTCTTACTACCGGTGACCGAGCAAGAGAAATTTTTGCTTCTTAGCACTTGCATAAGGGCTTATTTCCTAATCCCCCTATGCAATGAGTGATTGCCTCGCACGATTTTTGTATTTTACCCACACTTTAATTGTTATGGCAACTTTCTTATATTTTACTTGTCAGGTAGGATTTTTCTTCTTTTATAAAGATACAGTTCACCCCATCATAAAACCTTTTAAAACAGAGAGACTCATTGGCAGAGTTAAGAGCTCACAAGAGATGCAAGTAAGCACGATATCCAAACATGTCGAATGGTCAATGTTCTCCACCTAACCACTTCACCAAAAGTCATTACACTATCATCTCAAAAGAGAATGTTGCTAAAAGAGTTTTCTCATTCAAAGCATATCAAGTCAGTCAAAACAACAAGCTCATTGTGAAGAACTTTGTTATTCGACACTAGTGGGGTGACTTTGATGATTTCATTCAAGCACAAACTCATTTCACACGCATCACGGTCATTTACATCATGTTACCACAAGAGTACAAGGTTTTGTTTTTAATTTTTCTGATTTTTAGGTGTTTTTTAGCCATTAGATTAGCACAGGCAGACTGCACCAACACAGGTAGATTGCATGCAATTTGGCTGTGCATAACCCAAATGACTGTTTTTTTTTACCACATGCAACAGGGACAAACAACACTAAGACTCACCCTACACTTAGGATGGAACATTGTCCCTAATGTTCAACTCCTAATCTAAACATGCACGGGTTTGACAACTAAAAAGAAAAATAAAGAAAAGAAAACTCACATTGGGTTGCCTCTCAAGAAGCGCTTGTTTAACGTTCACAACCTGACGTTCATGGAGCTTTCAACCAATGGGTATGGAAAGGTATCCAGAATACCCTCCCAAGCAATGATAGAACACATAACCTCCATCCAACATATGAGTCACCTCAGCAGGGCCAAGTGTGCGAAAATTGGGTATGACCTTCTTAGCTGGCATGTTGGATCCTTTAGTGAGGCGTAGGTGGTATTGCAGCGCTTCAAGCAAGTACTCTTCCTGTTTCAATGTCAGTGAAGAAGGAATAATAACAGGAAGATTGAAATCCTTACACAAATATCTATACTTGAGATGACCTGGCAAGGATTTCTGTCCTTGCTTTGATTTTAGAATCTGGGCAGATAGGACATGTGATAGTTCTTCAGGTTGTCCACTATCACAAGAGAATGAATTTTTCCTTTCTCGAGCTCCACTTTCAAAGTCATCAAATGCATCGTGATTATGATCAACTTGAAAACATTAAAAATTTCCTCCTCCTTACCTACTCGGAATGTCAACTTGCCTCTCCCAACATCGATGAGTGCATCGCTAGTGGATAGAAAAGGTCTACCAAGAATGAGAGGCACTCCCCAATCATCTTCCATCTCCAAAATTACAAAATCTGTTGGGAGAATAAACTTCCCAACCTTCACCAATACATTATCCACCACTCCTTTTGGAATTTTTATTGATCGATCAGCCAATTGGAGAGTGATCCGAGTAGGCGTAAGAACATCTCCCAATCCCAATTTCTTCTAGACTGAGATGGCATCAAATTAATTCCTGCTCCAAGATCAGAAAGTGATTTATTGAACTCTGTACCTCCAATGACACATGGAATGGTGAAGCTTCCCGGATCATCCCTCTTTTCTGGTAATTTATTCTGAATCACAACACTACATTCAGAAGTAAGGGTTACCTTCTCTAGATCAACCCATTTGCACTTCTTAGTCAGCAACCCCTTTAAAAATTTAGCATATGTAAGTATCAGTTCAAGTGCATTTGCCAATGGTATGTTGATATGAAGTTGCTTGAAGAGATTCACAAATTTTCTTGAAGTTTGGGTCTTCCATGGGCTTCATTAACCTTTGAGAGAATGGTGCGGGAGGTTCATAAGGCTTTACCTCTTCATTCTTGATTTTTTTCATCTTTGGAGTTGCACAAGCAGATTGCATGCAGTTTGCCTGTGCAAGTCAGATTTTTCAGCTTTTGCACTTTCTTCCTCTGCAGCTGCTTTGTCCTCCTTTTCTACTAGATTTTTTCTTTCTCTCTGGATCCTCCAACTCCTTCCCACTCTTCAATGTGACTGCTACAACCATGGCATCCTTTGGATTTCTCTCAGTATTTGCCGGTAAAGTCCCAAGAATCCTACCTTGAATATCTGCCAAAGTTTGAGCCATCTGACCTATTTGCCTCTCCATAGCTAGCATAGATGATTGCATATTATTGTTGATGGCTAGCTGTTGAGTAAAAAATTGATCAAGACCCTTGAAATTATTGTTTGTTTTCTGCATATGAGCCAAAATCAACTCCTCTAGCTGGGGCTTCTTCTCTGGTAGAGGTTGTTGCTGTTGAAAACCAGGAGGTGGGGTGTTTGAAACACCAGCTGGATTATTGTTTGACCATGACATATTGGGGTGATGTCTCCATTGAGGGTTCTATGTATTTGAATGCATACCACCCTGGCCTTGACTTCGCGGATTATTGATATATTGGACATCTTCCAACTGAGCAGCTCCCAGTAGACACATATCCCTATGATGAGGACCCTCGCAAAGTTCACATGAAGCAACCTCCTCTTGTCTACCCAGAGCAATCTTGGCCAAACTTCATTCGAATGCATCAAACTTAGAATCCAGCTTGGCATCTATCTTGGCTTCTAGACTCGCAACTCTATCTATCTCATGCAAGCCTCCTCTTCTTCGAATACTGGTCTCACTAACCCATTCAGTGGCTTCTGAACAGTTCTTCTCTATTAGGTCATATGCTGCTGGTGCCTCCATTCTTGTGAAACCATTTCGAGAAGCATTATTCAGGGCATCACGAAACTCCCTTTTGATTCCATTGAATAAAATAATGATCACATTCCAATCTTCAAGACCATGGCTTGGGCATCTCATCAATATCCCCTTATAGCGCTTCCATGCCTCAGTTAGACTCTCATCTTCTACTTGCTTAAAAGTAACAATTTCCTCTTGCCTCTTCATTGCCAAGGCAGGTGGGAAGTACTTATCCAGAAATGCCTTCTCAAGCTGAGCCCATGTTGTGATGGATCGAGGTGTTATGTTCTGAAACCAGTGTGATGCATTCCCTAATAGAGAGAATGAGAACATCCGTAGGTTGATTGCATCATCTGACACATTTGGGCTCTTCATCGTATCACAAATGCTCACGAACCGGCAGAGATGCTCGTGAGGATCCTCATTGCTAGCCCCAGAGAAAGTATACCCATTGGTGATCATGTTGATAAATGATGGGGTAATCTCCATGGTTGCATCCCCAACCGGAATGACAACACATGAAGCTCGGGCTCCTGTCCGTCGATTCAAGCGAGCCCTGATCGAACGATCCTCCTCTGCCATGATGACAGGCTCGATGACGCGCGGTGGTGGTGGTGGTGTCGGTGGTGTAGGGACGGCAGGTGATGAAGCCTACCCTCTCTGGGTTAGGGAAGTCCTAGGAGTTGTGGTTGGTTGCTTCCCTAACTTGACCTGCTTCTTGTTCTGATGGCAGGTCTTCTCGATCTCCGGATCTAGTGGCAGTAAATTGCCAGTCGTCCTCCTAGGCATGCACGAGGAGGATAAACCTGAAAATTCTTCTGCACACTAACACCCATATCAAAATATTTCACTAAAAAAATCAACAAAAATATGGTATGGCAGTCCCCGGCAACAGCGCCAAAAACTTAGAGGGCAAAAGCGTAATGCCTCAATCCTATCTCGTAGTAAAACCCGAAAGTCCGGGTATCGTCTCTCATGGACTGGTACAACCTTATATTCTATCAATATATAGAGCAAACTGTAGGTGAAAATGGTTTAATGGGTGAAACTATTATCTAATAGCAAAATAATTAAACAAAACAAGCAAATTAAAGTTGTTGGGAGAAATCAATGGAGAAAGCTCTGGGAGAAACACTGGGACTCACTACCTATCAAATCCAAATTAATTCACATATTCCAATCAATTTAATCCATATCTCTACAGCCAGGATATCTCTACTGTGCTAGCTATCCCTGTCGGGAATTATTACGTACCAAACAATTAATTCAAATTCTACTGTTCTAGCTCAATGAATTAACTGTTTAGACTCAAGACCGATATCCCAATTAAGACCGCATAGCACCTTATTTAATCCACTGTCTCTTTGATAAGTTGCTATGTCACATGAAATATGTTCAGTTATCAGGGTTTCACTGTCGCTAATAACCTAATCAACTACAAATCGATGTATTGGTGGCCAGTCAGAACAAAGCATTAAATAATTTCATGCAATAGAGATTGGAAGAAAAGAAATATGAATCAATCCATAAAGGCTAGAAATAGCTACATCCTATGGTGTTCCACCCAAAAATTGGGGCTTAGTTCATGACGAAAATAAAACACACAATCATGTTGATAATCATCATGTCACAAATCGAAACAAAAGGAAAAGAATACTAATTTTTTCAAACGATCCGGCTCCAATTCCTTCTTGCTCCGATCGCTACTCTGCTGCTCCGCGCTCTGCGCTAGTCCTCCGCGCGGCGCTGTGCTGCTCCTCCTTCCAAATAATTCCCAGCGGCCCAATTATTCTCCAGTTGCCGTCCGCTTTCAATTAATTCCAAGTTTTCCCTAAAAGAAGACTCCCTGTCCAATTCCCTCCAATCCCACCGACTAGAGGCCAACAACTTGGTCAATTTAATTGGAAAAAATGGCCCAAAGAAACATCACCTCCAGCTAATTGCGTTCCAATTAATTACTTCTCTCCCCGGAAATTTCCAATGCTTGCTTTTCGGTCCAAGTAAATCACATGGTCTAAGTTAATTCAAGACTTGTGTTGCAGCCCATCGGGCTCAAAATTTTCCTCCCTGTCCAAGTAATTCTTTTTGCGGCCAATATATATGTTCGTTCTTTATTCATTTGCCTGCCCATCACTCGTGCTTCCATTTTCTCTATTTCTTCACCTGAAGTACACATAAACTCTAACACCGGATGGTAATAATGGTTTTTCAACCATTCCATAATCAATTGGCCCTAAAACAAGCATTCTATGTCTCAAACATATCATGAAATAATCACATTAAGCACATGGAATCAATATGTTTTCGACAATTATCAGCAGGTTCCTCCCCTGCTCCATCTTATATTCACACAACTCCTTCCAGCCCTTCCTCACCTATAGTTCCCCTTAGAAAATCCACAAGGCAAACTGTCTTTCCTAATAAGTATAATGACTTTTATGTTGGGACTACTCAAGTCAGCTGTTCTCCCAGAAGCATTCCATCATATCTGTCTCACCTTACCTCTGACCAGTAGCGTTTTTCTCTTCTCCTTGAGACTACTATTGAACCTAGTAGTTATGCTGAAGCTGCTAATGATCCTCGATGGAATGCAGCAATGATAGATGAACTTAAAGCTCTTAATGAGAACAATACCTGGGAGATCATTGACTTGCCAGGGGGAATTAAGCCAGTTGGAAATCGATAGGTTTTCAGGATTAAATACAATCCAGATTGCACAGTTGAAAGGTATAAAGCTCGATTAGTTGCTAAGGGATATACACAGGTGTACGGAATTGATTACTGTGATACTTTCTCACCAGTGGCAAAGCTGAATTTAGTTAAAATGATGCTTGCTGTTGCATCTATTCAGAATTGGCATTTGCATCAAATGGATGTCAATAATGCCTTTTTAAATGGTGATTTGGAAGAAGATGTGTATACGGAGTTGCCACAGGGTTTGAGGGAACAAGATCAATTCAAGGGGAAGGTTTGCAAACTAAAGAAGTCACTCTATGGATTAAAGCAGGCTAGCAGAATGTGGTATGTCAAATTAACTGAGTCTTTACTTGCAAACGGATTCACGCAGTCAAAGGCAGATTACTCTATTTTTCTTACTGAGACCAAAGGTAATCTGGTTGTTGTGATAATGTATGTTGATGATATTGTGGTGGGAAGCATTAATCTGGATGCAGTTGTTTCAGTGAAGCAAATGTTGAAGTCACTGTTTAAAATGAAGGACTTAGGCCCTTTGCAATATTTTCTTGGTCTTGAAATTAATAGAATTGATGTTGGGATTCATGTTTTGCAAAGGAAGTATTGCTTGGAGCTCCTGAAAGAAGAAGGTTTCGATGAGTGCAAGCCTGCCAAGACACCTTCCAGTGTCAAGCAAGTGCTTTCAGCAAACCAAGGAGATCCTTATCAGGATATTGGTCACTTCAAACATCTGTTAGGACAGCTCCAATACCTCAACAGCACACGACCAGACATTACATTCGCGGTGCAGCAACTGTGTCAGTTTCAGGACTCTCCTACCACAATGCATTATAAAGCATTCAAGAGAGTGTTTAGGTACCTTAAAGGGTCACCAAGTTAGGGCATTCTTTACCCTAAGAATTCAGCAATGCAGTTAACGGCATACCGTGATTCGGATTGGCCGACATGTCCAGATACTAGAAGATCATTGACTGGATTCTGTGTTTTTCTGGGAACAGGTTTGTTGAGTTGGAAGGCTAAGAAACAAAGCACAGTGTCGAGGTCTTCGTCTGAAGCAGAATACAGGACATTGGCTTTGTTAAGTTGTGAGATTCAGTGGTTGACTAGACTTCTATCAAATTTTGGTGTTAATCACTCACAACCTGCAATGGTGTTTTGTGACAGCCAGTCAACCATCCACATCGCCAAAAATCCCGTGTTTCACGAACGAACGAAACACATTGAAGTTGACTACAATGTGATAAGGGAGAGATTGCAGAATGGGTTGATAGATTTGCATCATATCTCTACTAACCATTAGCTTGCAGATCTGTTTACTAAAAGTCTTGGGATAGACAGGTTCAATCTTCTTATGAGCAAGCTGGGAGTTTCTTGCAGATCCTCGCTAGCTTGTGGGAGGATAATAGAGAGTAAGGATGGAGCCAACATTGCAGCAGCAGCTTGAAGCTTGAAGAACAGGAAGAAATGTTAACTGCTGCTGAATGAAGTTCAACTAAAGAAAGACTGTCGACACATTATGAAACGGCCACGTTCTGTCTCAATCAGAAAACTAATGATGGACTCAGAACGCGGTCGTTTCCTTCAGTCCACTAATTAGTTTAGTTGATGCTTTTCGACATGTGGCAATTAATGATTTGTTAGTTTGTCTTTGTTAGTTAATAATCACTGTTACTTAGCCGTTAGTTGCTTGTAAATGGTTTAAACTTTCAGTATATATATGAAAAGCAGAAAACGAAGACCTCAAGGATTTTGAGATCTCTTCACTAAAAACCCTAAAATCTATATTCTTCTCACAGATCGCCAAAAGAATGAGATTCCTCCTAGATTGACCACCGCAAGGATCAAGAACTACAAGATTTGTAGGGAGGAATTCTAATCGCCGACACTAATCAAGGGGTCTTAGACATCATCATCACTCCCAGTGCTATCCCATCGAAGAATCGTTCAATCGCGCACCCAGCTGCCTGCGCCGTCTCGGACTTCGTGATGTTTAATTGCCGGCCGGATTCCGCGGCGACGAACAGTATGGAGATCACCAACACCAAGAAGTTTATGAATAGAGAGATTAAAATTTGTATGCCATCTGGGTTGCCGCCGGATTTCGTTTTGTTGTAGTGGATTGTAGAGAAGGAAGAGCTTTGTCTCTTGAAGGAAAGGCAGAGGAGGTTAGGTGGGTTAGTTGGTGACGGTGTTTTTGTCCCCAAAATCCGGATGGGTGGGTAAAAGATTAGGGTTTCCGGTTAGGTTCAGTTCAATTGGGTTTGGTGATTAATTCTTTTATTAAGATTTTAAATGAAGTGGTATGCTGACTAGATGGAACTAACGGTTTTTTGGACGGTAGTAGACGGATTGACCAATTCATTATTAGTCCATACATATATTACTGAAACGTGCAAAATTAAAAAATTGTGACCATTTTGGAACGAGGTTTCTTTAGATTTATATATATACTAGGAAGCGTGAGCCTCGCTTTGCGACGACTTGGGGTGTTGGGCTTCCTGCTTACAGGCCCATAAAGCAACTAAAACCTAAAATTTAATGCTTAATAAAAAAATGAAATATCAATCCTCCAACAAAGTTCTAATTTTCCTTTCTCATGTCCCCAGCCACCAACCATCCTTATGCCTTCTCTTTTATTTTTTTAGGTCCGATCAATAAATTCCCTTCTCATCAACCCTTACCCCATCAACTGAATGGCCTCTTCATTGATGCTTTTCCTATTTGATTAGATATCTCCCTGTACACGGTTGTCTATTTTTACGATATACATTCAAAAGCCCTTTCCCTAGTCAATTCATCCAAACCTTCCTCGGATCTTAACCCTCTGTTCGCGACATTTCAATTCCCATTCCCAATACTTCTTCACCATCCTTGTCAATTTAACCAACTCTTTCTCAGATCTGGATCCTTCATTCTGATGACGAGTCTTTGATGCTCGTCGTTTGTTCCCATTGGTTCTCTGCTGATCAAGTCTTAGCTTCCTTCCTTCATTGGTTACTTTGTTGGTCGATTACCTCATCCCTTTGTTGCATGCCTAATTTTGGTATGAAAATTTTTAAGTATGCATGGGATTTCTTGTAACTAAGATGCTTCTATTTCTAAATTTAATCTTGTAATTCTTTCATTGCAAGCTGAATCTATCATTCCCTTGATTGTATGTAACTGGCGGCAAAGAAAATGCCTCTTTCTATACCTCCATTCCCTACAGATTCTTTTTCTAGTCCCATATTTTTTGCCAGAGAATGATCAGCAACATCCTCAATTTTTTATCCGGGAATTGTACTCCCACCCATTCTAAAGAATCAAATAGAGAACATAGAGCCCTCTCCGTCCAGATTTATCTTCTCCAAATTAAAGAAAGATAATCTTCTCTCATCTTTGGTTTTGTACTCCTTCCTTTCATCTTCGCACCACCACTCCCACATCCATCAGCCTGTCACTTTGTCGCACGACTTGCTCCCTTCTCATCTTCCTATCAATTAAAAAGACCAACTTATTTTTTCATAGCAACTTACTTGTTTCAAAAATACTTGGATCTCTAGTAGTTGCCATTGTTGCTGCTAGAGTTAGATTTCCGTTTCAAAATTTTCATTGCATGTAGAATCTCTCTATTCCAGGGCAACATAGTTGGGTGGAACTTTCCCTAGAGGAACGGAGGAAGAGTATAACTCTTTGCATGTCGATTTAATTCGTTTTAATTGTCTTTATTGTGAATACCTAATTATGTAAACTTATTCAAAATTCTAATCTCAGTCCACATTGATTGTGGATATAGATTAGAGAGTGATTTGACAGCAAATAATGGTGGACTCGGGTGATGGAAGTAAAAATTTGGAGCAGAATATTTATGCCCAATTCATTAAAGACCCGAAACCCGTGGGCTGAACTCCAATACGAAGAAAGTGAGTGTTGCCCAGGCACGTTCAAGGGAAAAAAGTAGGATTGATCACACATTAATTGCTCTTAGGAAACAGTAACCATGTTCAACTTTATATATATTAATAGAGTAGCTTTTGACGGGCCATTAGAAAAAATATCCACAACTGTGGATATTCGTCCGAATCCTACCTAATCGGGTGGGTAAAATCTGAAGCCGAAGAATTTTTAGTGGATATGGATAAAATTTAAACTCTAATATTATGGGTGGGCATGAATTTGTCACTATCCAACCTGAACCCACTCAATTATACACATGCATACCTATTTTGTCTAGAAATTATCATTATTTTTCTCATCATATTTGATATTTAATACACATATATTTTTCATAAAATGATATTGTTTTCAACTAATCTTCTTTGAATTTTCTTTTTTTTTTTTTTAACGTGTGCAATGTTAGTATATGTGTGGGTGTTAACATGTTGGTTGGAGTTATAAACAAAAATTATTACCCATATCTGAAACCCGATCGGGTATATGGGCATTGGTTTGATTTTCTACCCAATTCTTGTGTGGATATGGGTATGGATAAAATCCAAACTAGTATGGGTAGAGTAATCCTTTGCCATCCCTACCGATAACTTTTTATATATTTGTTGATTTATATTTTATTATAATATGTATTTGTTGTCCCACCCCACAATTCTCAATCTTTCAATACCGGACAATGGCAAATCGAGTATTTTGGCTTGGGGTGCAATTAAGATGGGTCTGTGCATGAGAGTATACATTTCAAAGCGAAAATTTTAACATAAAAAAATTTATTCATAATTTGGGAGATAAATGTTATACAAAATAGATGCTATGATATAATAAACATGATTAAATTATATATGAATTAACTAAATAGGTTTAAGCTGAACAATTTATTAATCTTCCCACTCATAGTGAGTTTGTGAAAGTTTGGTCAACTACTAAAAATATGGCATTTAATCCACCAACAACTTTCACATATCACAACAGTAATACTACAAAGATAGTAAGACCATGTCCTCTCCCCTTAAATCCTTAGTCTTGCCTAGTTGTTTATTAACATGAACATCTAGAGCGTCGTTGGAGGCTTTTTTTACATAGACGTCCAGGAGGACTCTTTGCCACTTGCTTATGTTTCGATATGATCTTATTTCTATCGCCATTGACATTAATAAGCGAGAAAAACAACAAATCAGAACAACAAACAAATATACTGACACCATAAGTCTTGGATTTGAGAAACCCACGTCCATAAATTGAATCTAGAATCAATGTTATTAATGATTCAAACTTAATACATTGTGCTTAGTGGCCTTTGAACAACCAAGTATACATAACACCAAAGAATTGAATAAGGAAACAAGGGGTCTAGAGGAAAAGTAAATCCCATCCGCCAGTAATATGAATATATCTCGAACCACCCTAGCGGGTAATGACCAACGCGGCTGCTCTCGATTGGCACCACGTATTGCCACGAGGGGGGGGGGGGGAATCCCAAACCGTGAACTATCTCAGTAACTTTGCTTCGCCCAAACTCTGATGTATGATCCTGATCCCGCGAAAGTTTTTCACTGGCAACGACGCCTGCCGCGAACATCTTCTCCCAGTTCAGGATAGTATATTCAGCGCGCCAAGATCACCCACCCCGAGCCTGCTCATAGCTTCTGAGACGCGCACCACCTCCAAAATGGAATCTGACTCTGTATCTGAAACTCCAACATGCGCGTTAGCTACCGGCCTAGACCCACTCACGCCGTCAAGATGAATTATCAACATGCCTATCAAACTCGACTTAGGTGTCGATGATGCACACACACTCCCATAGACGTTGCCGCGCTGGCGCCGCTCCTTCGTTTTGGAGGATTTGTGAAGGAGATCCCGACCAGCACCAATGTCGTACAACGGTGTAGCAAGGTTCCTCCGACAGACACTCCGACGGCACCCTCGCCTGTAAAATCATCCAGATCCAAGGAAGGATCAGAAGAAATAGTAGATGGATCAGAGAGATTACCTTCTTTGTGACTCACACGAAACTACACCACAAATTAATCCCAAATAGAGTCCAAGTTTTTAAACTCTAGATGGGTGCAGTATAGATCAAGTATTTAAATTATCAACCCGGGCCGATCCATGTACCCTACTTCAATCGCTTAGGTTGTTATCTAG